GGGGGGGAAGGGTTGTTAATGCAACTGTTCCAACTGCATAAACTACGTTTGATAGGAAGAAGTACTCGAGATAATTAAGTTCGCTACTAAAATGCCTGAACTTAAAGTACCTGGTTTGTTACAGCTTTGGCCATCTTACTGAACTCTTTCTTCAACAGAGATTTATGAAGCAATGAAGAAGGTTTGTTCTGTTTCTTGCTCTTGGTTGTTGCAAGCAAAACGGACTGATCTTTGCCTCCAGGTTGAATTGTAACAGTTTTCTTGTTGGCCAAGCCTAAAACAAAAGAATCATAATGAACCTCTATATATAAACTGAACTCACTATTTGTAATGTTATCATCAATCTAACAGAAAAAAAACAAATGAAGAAAGTGAAACTTCTCTCACCACTACTAATAAACTAATAGCTTTCTAAAACAAATTCAAATGTTACTCAACATCAAATATATAAGATAAATAAACTTTACTGTTCAAAGAAAGAACAAAACCAAGCATTCAAATACTCGAACATATTTTTACAGTGCTCACAAATTAGCAATGGGAAGATTTAGTCAAGGAAACTGTAGAATCAAATGTCAAGCATGTAATCCCAAGAACTGAATAATGTCTCGAGAACACATAAACAAAAGAACAAATGAAATAACCATACCATTAGTTGAACAGACACAATGACCATTCACTCATTTCTATTTAAATGCACGGCGGATGCTGTAGTAACCGGAATGATAATTGAAACAATTTCACATTGCTTACATAGCATGAATCAAGTATGCTGGTCCCTCTCCAGCCAAAATCCAGAATAAATGAAGCGCATACACACATTTATCCAGATAACCGCCAATTGGCCAGAGGATCCAGATTCCAAACAATAAACCAAGCATATTTTCGGTCATTTGCAGCACTTCAGGTAATCAAAGGAGACAACACTCAATTTATTTAAATTTTCACAACTAAATAGTACCAAACAATCATACACAAACCTCCAAATGACGACATAATATACTCGTGACCCTACCTCTAAATCGACTCGACAATCAAGCAAAATTCTTCAAACTTAATCCTCTAGCATTTCCTTTAAAATGGAAAAAAAAAAAGAAAGGCTCATTAATCAGAGAATTTAAGATGACTTACCAGAATGCTTGTAGGAGTTCAGATTGTATAAATTGTTGGACTCTTTGCTGAACTGAACGCCAGCTGTTCCCCTTCCAAACTCCTTCACCAAAAACGAGTTGTTCCTCTTCACAATCTCCCAAACCAGTTGTCCTGAAACCGCCGCCATCTCTTTCTCTGCCTGCAACGCGATAGAAACATATCAAAGAAAAACCTTCGTAGTGAGTCTAGCTTGAGTACAACATACATATGCGCGAGAACACAAAAGAAAAAACATTGAAACTAAATCGTTGAGAGAAATACAAGACCTGATCTGTTTTAGGGTTTTGTCTCACAGACGCTCCGATGGGCAAAAAATGGGGCGTAATGCGTAAGGAGTTTCGTACCTTTTATACTAAACCCTAATTACCCGGAACTTCAATGGGCTTAGGTTTAGGGCATCCATCATATTTTCATTTCTTATTAAAAATTTAATTAATATAAATCTAAAGTTTATTATTTATTTATTATTTATTATTTATTTTTTTTAAGATTATAGTTAAAAGGACCAAATAGATACAATATTATTCAAATATTTACCTTTTTGTAAAAGAAAAAAAAAATATCAAAATTGAATAACTTGAAAAATACAATTATTTATATATTGAATAAAAATGTTAAAATCACCAAAAATTTCAAGAAAGCTTTTTAACTTTTAATTAATTTTTTTTTTAACTTTATAATAATATATGTCGAGTATCATGAGGCCGTTGTTTCTATCGAACATGGAAACAACATAAGATGATACTACGAGAAATCAAAAACAAAATTGTTATCAAACGGATCCTAAATTATTGAAACGTTCTCCAAATTAGGCATTACCATCTTCATTCCTCAGGTGATAATACATATATACAAAACCAAAAGCATTCATTCATTCTCCTACCCACATTTCTTACTATTGAAGGAGAAACATGCAAATTCAGCAAACACAAAACTATTTATTCACTCACGATCATTCTTAAACCCCAATTCTTGGTCTTGCCGAACCGTCTACTGCGTCGTTTAAACGACCGAATACTACCTTAAGGGGGATACATGCTATAAAAGCACCCTTGGACTTGCTCTCATCTACGAACTGCTTCTCCACAGTCAGTGAAGACAGTTTCCTGGTCTTTTTTGATAGTTGTCCAGAATTCTTCGTCTTCAACGCTTTGCCTGTTGAAGGGCGTGGCTGAAATGCACGGGCATGGCGCTTGCCCGACGTTTTTCCTTTCAAAGAACTTGATTGCACTGAACGAGAACTTTCCACGCTCCGAGGTTCAAGTTCAGATCTGCTCGAAAGTTCGTCACAGTGACCGTCTTCCAGGACCTCAATAGTGAGCGGATGACCGATAATTGCCTTACAATTTAACTCGCTCATTAACGAAACCAATGGAACATGCTGTGGCCTATAGTTGGCTTTTACCATAACCTCAACATCATATAGCGAAGCATTACAGCCAAGTTTTGTAAACGAAAATTCTGACCTTTGATATTTTGAGTGAACCGTAAGGCGGGATCGGCGAAAAGGGAGCAACCTTGGAGTAGAATCCAACTCATTTGATCCATCTTCAGCAAGTTTCTGGTCAGATCCGACGTTGAATCCATCCAGCTGCTCCTTAGCTGCTCCGGACGTGTTTTGCTTGTCGTCCGTCTCATTTGTAGGAGTTTTCTTTGTATGTCTTGAATTCCTCTTCCCCTTATGCTGCCATTTTGAACTGCCCTTCTCTATGGTTTTACTGATATTGCTCTCTGGATCAGCAACAGCAGAACTAGTAGACCCAGATTCATTATTTAGTTCATTGCTTACACATAGGAGTTCAGCTTGGCTACTTCGGCTGGATCGTCTTCCCGACGCACCAACGGCACACCTAGGGGAAAATGTTGGGTCTGGCAGAAGTAGAAAATACCCAGTAAGGGGAAAATGCACGATTGTCGCATCAACACATCGAGAAAAAGCATAACGAAGCGTAAGATGGAAGACATACAGCTGAAGAAAACAATCAAGCTCGATTAGAATAAAGTTCGAACCTATCGAGCCATACACCATATGCAAATCTTAAAGCAAGAATAGTCCAAATATTTACAAGTTTAGGAACCGGTCAATATCAATAAAGCAAGACATATGACACATACCTGCGGGATTTTTTCCGTCCCCACTGGATGACACGTGACATAATTGATCAGAAATATCATTCTCAGCTCGATCAGAAACGCTTGAAACTTCATTATCCTTCACCTCGATATTAAAATGAGAAGTATCAAGAGCAATTGTAGGGGTCATATTCTCACAAGACATTACCGTACTGTCCGAGTTATTGTTCGTTGCTGCAGAGGAACTCTTTTTTGACTCGTTAGATTCTAGTTCAGAAAGCTTTCCATCTGACGATCCTCCGATCGGTGAACCACATGAATTGGTAAGTTCATTGCAAACAACAGAAACAGATAACATTGATGTACTTTCTAAAACTTGTGTTAATGGTCTACGTCGATTTTTCCTTTTCGAGAGTTCATTAACATCGGACACTTCAGACCTCTTTCTTTTAAATAGGGATGAATTGATTTTGCTGTCATCTGGAGGATGTTCATAAGCCAAGCAATTGGGAGTATTTAAATTACGGTTTACATCACTATCTTCTCGAACCAGCTCAACTACGCCTCCAGTGTGAACTTTTCTTTTTGACACTACACCTACACCAAAATCCTCGAGCCCTCTCATTCGCTTTACACCCTCCGTTCCATCATCCTCAGAGTCATTTGGAGTTCTCCTCGTACTCTGACTAGATCGGACCATTGAAGAACTCAAATTTTCTTCGAAAGAAATTCCTGACTGAGATAATTCTGGCATTGAATCACTCATATCATCAGTCAAGTCTACTTCACTAGAATTGGCCATGAGTGCGGTGTTTCGGGTAGAAATACCACGCTCGCCAGAGGTATCCATTCTACAACTAAAGGCCAGTGGATCCTTGCCAAAGCAAGCACTCTCAAGCTCGAGTGCTTGAAGAATTGCATCTTCCCTTCGAGCATATTTTACTGCTTTTTTACTTGCAATGGCCACAGAAGCCTTGGCTTTCTCAATAAACTCATCATATTCCCCGCATCGAAATGCCTTCACTCTTTTAGACTTTTCAAGATTATACCAGTCACTATATCAATAAAAAGGTATTTGTCAACATAGTTGAAATTAGTACATAAATGTAAGCCAGTATCATGATCATAACAAAAGAATTTAGTATCGTTGTCATGAATTCAGAAAGAGGAAACAAGGAAAGCAAGAGATGGTTGAGGCTGCATTCTTAATATTAGCCCCATCATCGAAATGCCTACTACTCCTAGTCTCATCATCATATTAACCCCAAACGCATGTTTAGAAGCTGAATTCTTAACTTCCAAGAGATAGTTGAGGTTTAAAGTTTTGTTTGTTGACCGTTTTAGCTTTTAATTAGCCGAGTTCGTCTGATCCCCCTTTCCATTCTTTCACCGACAAAACCGACCTTTCAATTTGACTTAACGAAATGACTTCGACTTTTAGAACAACCAATCAAATGGGTAAGGCTAAGATAAGGGCCTGTTCATAATCCCTATTCAAATTGCTTGCTTGATTGATTAAGAGAGCTTGGACGGGAGAAGAGGCTTTGACAACGAAACGAAGAGATTTATATAATTGAGAACTAAAGCCTCCCGCGAAAAGAAATCTAGAGTAAAAGAACGAACTAAATTGACTAGGAGGCGGAAGGGGAATGAAGGGAAAGGGATGGGTGGGGAAAAAATCTAGATCTTTCCTAATCATCAATTTCGCGCTTAACTTTCAAGAGTCGGGTATTTACATATCCTATGCAATAGAAGGCAAAATAACTTAAGCATAATCCCTCCATCACTGATCCTTCCCAAATGCAATTTCTTCCCATTACCAATGTTTTTACTCAGGTACTGAACTCTAACAGAAGTGTTCAAATATTTTTTTTCTTCTTTTTAATAATTTCCGCTCGTTCGTGGGGACCCGTGTTCGCCCGTCTGGAGTTCTATGCATTCATGTAACCGTATATTACAAACGATGATGACAAACCAAAGAGTATCAACTGATTAGAGACCAATCCAAATCAAAAGGTGTACAAGGAGTTCATTCTTTTGTTCAGGGCATGATGCGTTTCAAGCACAACACCACCTGATCAACTAAGGCTAACAAGGTTGAACACACACAAGTCATTAACACCAAAACTGAGCCAGCCTAAGCCACAAACATAGATATTCAGTACAAAGAAACTGAAAGTTCATATAAAGTGAACTAAAAATGCTCAACAATTCAAAAGAACTCAGAAAGAAGCACTCACATGCTTGCATCCTCACGACCAAGAAGCTTCACCGGAGTACCTGATTTTGGGCAAACCAAGCAGGTCTCAGACAGCTCTTCAAGACCCAAAATCCGGCCAGGCCACCACGACCCATTACGGCGGCGGACCCAAACTAAACTACCAACCGATGCATCAATGGCCTTAGTGGTATTAGACCCATCAAAGCTGCCCATCTCAACAGCCCCCGGAAACCCAGGGTTCCCAATACCTCGTTTTCAGAAACAAATGCATATATAATCCAAACCTAAAACCAAGGAAAAGAAAAGTAAACAACAAATGATGTACATGCAATCAATCAAAAACCCAGAAAAAGCAATTGAATCACAGTAAATAGAAAGAAACCTGGATTGAAGGGTAGGTGACAGGGAAGAAGATCTACCAGTATTTTAAGGAAAACAATGAACTAATCAAACATTGAAAACTATGTTTGTTGATTTTGTTACGTTGAAGTGATTAGCAATCGCGGGGAATATTTATTGTTTGCTGATCCTTGATTATCAACTCTCCTGAAGAGATATGGGAGACTGAGACAGAGTGGTGTGGGTTTTGGATCAAAACAGAGTGTCTGCACTTGCTATCTTGGGAAAGAAACTCACGTAGTGTGGGATTATGTATACTCCGAATTATGTACCAAAATAGAACGGTTCGAAAGAAAAAGTGGCAAGATCGATGCTCGTGCTTTTGTAAGTAATGGGCGCTAATTCCAGAATACCATTTGCAGGCCCAAATTGGAGCACCACACGCTTCAATTGAACATGTTAACTTAGTTCAAATTATGTAGCAAAGTGGTTAAACTCTTAATTTTGTATTTAATAGATTATTTGTCTAATTAAGGAATACTATCTTCATTGGTATGAGATTTTTTGGGAAAGTCCAAATTAAAGTTACGAGAGTTTATGCTCAGAGTGAACAATATCATACCATGGTAGAGAGTCGTGTTCATTTAACGTATTCAATTCTTTTTTTAAGAAAAGTCCAAGGAGGGAGGACAATATCTGTTAACGATAGATTTTGATGGAAAAGTTTAAAAAAGACAATTGCACCAATAATACTTGAACGAAAAGCCCAAACGAGTGGTGTACATACTAGCGATGACGATAGACTTGAATTGGCTGTGGCATCTTAGCAGCAGCAATAATCATGCCTCTTCTTTTCTTTTGTAACATTATTAAAATATTCTTCAAATTAATATTAATTAGAAAGCACCAATATCCTTTAATTATATTCTTCAACCATTCTCTTCCCCTTTTTATTTTTGGAATTATTCTTTAATTATTTCTCATAATGAAAAATAAATACTAAGGTAGTTTTGGCTTCAAAAGTGGTAGTGATGTTAATCCGATCATAAACATACCAACCCAGCAGACATAAAGATTGAACCATGAAAAAATTTCAAACAGCAACAGAGGCAGAGCCTTCAAGGAAGAGCTTGATGAAGATGAATAAACTTTTATTTCCCATCTCTATGTATTACAAGAGAGTAACAACCACACACACACACACACACACATATATATATATATATATATATATAGGCAGTATAACTGGCCAAATGAACAGTTCAGAAATCTTGAGGCCTTTCCCTACCCTACGCTGCAATGGTACTTTACAACAAGTTGGAATCTTAATTTCAACAATTTGAGCCCTCTGGAATCCCAGGGGTATGGCGTGGTGTGTATATGATCCAGAAAATGGTGTCGTATATTTTAGTACCAGATCTTGTAATCCGTGGTGGTACGATACATGGCTCGCCATCGAGGGCACTTCTGCGGGACATCTTTGTATTAGGCACAGGAGAAGAAAGCATCTTTTGGGCTCAGTGTCTATCATACACAACCTTGATCAGTCATGGCTTGAGCAACAGTCAGAAAAGCAGAAATGACTGCTCCGTGTACAAGAGCCCTATTATTATCAAGCAGATGAAAAGCACATAAGGTTTCAGAAAAACAAACCTCATCAATATATAGATACACATATATTTAATCAAGCACAAGATACTCGACTTGTGTGCTTAGATAAACAGCGGGAAAAGTAAGAAATCAAGCGAAAAATGGTGAATGAGGTTGTTGGGTCCTATTCTTTACTTCTCATTGTTCTTAACTACTTCCCCTCCCGATCAAACCAACAGTTCAAAGCGGATAATCATTTTAGCAATCACATTATGGAGCTGAATTGGAGTTAGAACTCACTCAGGACTCTCTTTTTGGTAACCAAAATCAGCTGCTGCCTTGAGGGCTCTCTGGTAAGTCTGTTTCATAGCTTCCTGCAAGTTAAAGTGATGGGAAAACCATAAACAAGATTTCAACAACCGGAGAATAAAATAAATATGAAATTTAATTGCAAGCTCGAGCATATGATGGGTATGATAACCTTCACATGGTTGGTTACGAAATTAATTTTCAAATCCGCAGACAACCAACATTGTGAACGTAATCTCCTTTTTTTTATCTTTCAAATTAATAAATTCAAGTTCTAGATGAATGAGCATAGAACAGTATATTCATGCAGAGTCCATCCAGCAGAAAATATCAGATCAATAGATTTTACATTCTTAAATGTACCGGCATCATGTTAGATTGATCATATCGAGTACATCGTTTCAGTTGTGGTTCTCATCACTGATTAGAAATTCAGAAAGGAAAGTACTTTGAAGGTTTGACAACATGCACAATGTTGAATAATTGAATCTGGCAAAGAAGAAATCAAGAAGTATTTCCCTTAATTGAATAATCTCACTAGAAGACAGGCTAAAAGATGACCCTCACCTGCAATTTAGATTCAAAGTCCTCTGGGGACCAATGCATCAGATTACATGCATGGTTTAATTCAAGTTCTCCAGCAACAACCTGCAACAAGGAAGCAAAAATAACCAGATAAGCTTAAATTTTTAATAAGCAAGAAAAATTCAAAGATCCAGAACCACCTGACAGATTAATTCTCCTTAAGCTTATGAATCAAACGTCTGACGCATTGCAACTAAATTTGAAACTAGAATATTTGGAAGGCCAATGTTATGCGAAGAGTTTAATCATGAATGCTAATTCCAGTTCTTCATATTATTGAACCATAGATTCTTTCAGTGCATCAAATTTTAATTCTAAACATGATATTCAAGACAACAACGACATTACTGAAACAGATCTGTTTACAACCGTGTCCTTGTGTTCTAAAGATATTCACTTCAACATGGTGACAGTATTTGGAAACCAGCGACGCTTAAAACAGTAGGGTAAATTGTGAAACTTCATAACTAGTGCTTAAGATCAAAATCATCTCAAGAACCATAGAGAAATTAGTTGCCTCGCAATGTTTTAAGAGAATTTTGTAATTTTAACCATGTAACATAAGGTATGAGAGCTTATCATCCAGTGCCCCCAAATTCTGGTCATAGTTTAATTTTTTTAGGCATCAATGGCTTTCTTATTTGAAGCTCCCAGAAGAGACCATTCTCCTATTTCAAAGTGAGTCGACAATCAAACCCACATCAATCAAAACAATTTTTCCTTAACCAAAAAATTCTCTTAAAAGAATTACCTCAACTTTGAGCTCAAATAATGCACAGAAATCTATATTTATTATTTGTGAGAAAAACTAGTTCCTATTAGATATTTGTAGCACAATGATCATATACAGAGTGAATGAAGTGAATCGCACCCCTCCAGCACCTGCAGCCATTGCAGGAGCAATGAGAATATTAGCTTTTCTCAGCACGTCAACAGCCTCAGGAGTACAGGGCATATTTGAACCTAGGGGAAAAGGCACCAGCAAGTGGCCATCAGTAAGCACAAAAATAAAATTTGAAAAAAAGATGGGGAGACATGGAAATAAAAACTAAAATAGTGTTTACTACCTTCTATTAGAATACGACAGCCAGAATTAATCAGGTTTATGGCATCGGCTTGATCAATTTCATTATGGTAAGCACAAGGAAACGCAACATCACACCTTTCATTCCAAGGTTTAGCTTCATCGTAATACTTAGATCGAGCATAAGTCTTCGAATAGTCCCTGAGCAAACCACATTGCACAATATAGAATATGAGCTACTAAAATGATAGCAAAAAAATGTTGAAACAAAATGGCGTAAATGTAAGAACACACCTTAAACTTCTCTGCTGAGCCTTGATGTCTCTCAAAAAGGATATCTTCATGTAGTCAAATCCATCTTCGTCCACTAAATATCCCTTTGAATCTGAGAAATATTTGATTGTAACATGTTAAAAGAACAAGCTATATGTTCTCTTCATAGCAGTTGCAAATACCAAGAAACAGCAAGACCTTTAATTTCGAAACTGATTCTATTTTAAGTTGTAGCTAATATAAGACGAGAAAGAAACTTCTCTTTTCATCTAATTATCAATCTATTAGAATATTCAAACAAATCTAACTCAGATAGAACCGTGGATGTCGCTATGTTGCTGGGAATCCAACTCTAAGAAATTATGTTTAGAGACCATTAAAAAAAAAACAAATATCCCGGTGAAACTTTAAATCACAGCATAATTAAGAACATAAGTATGATGACTAATCCACTGGAAGGCTAAGTATCGATGTAGAAACTTACAGCTCCTGCATAGTTTAACAACAAAATCAAGTCAATGTTGTGGATTTTAAAACATGTTTAGCAGAAAGTCCAATGTCTCCATTATGTGACGCTTTCTGTAAATATTTTGGCTGAATGCAATGCACACAGTTAGATGACGCTTTAAAATGAAAGAAAGACATAATTAAAACAAAAAAACAAAAAAACAAAAAACAAAAAATAATTAGAGACATCCACACAACTCATGCTAACTAGCAGTACATACTAATCTTCAAATAAAAAATACAAGAGCCTTCTCCATCATGCAAGAGCCGAAAATTAATGCACAAAGCCTCTTAAATTTCTTCTTGCCAAAAAAGAACTTAAGAAGGAAGAACAGTTCCTTCACCTAGTTGTGAAAACTTGGAAATGAAAATGAGGAAGACCTACAAAGCTAGAGGAAAGGTACTACAGTGCTTTCTACCTCATTATGTAGGTCGTGGTTCAAAGAAATATTTGAGAATCACCTGAGACAGTGATGGGGAGGGCACCATAAGCAATAAGCTTTTCAAGAACATGCATCGCAATCTTCCCAGAACCGCTTACAACACATCTGGAGTAAAAATTTGTAAGAGGATTTTACATCAAAGATAAAGCTTCGAGGCACTGCTTAATTTTATGAAGATAGAACTCTAAAAAGCCAAAATGCATGACAAATACATTTAACACCGGCATAAATGAGCCACTAAATGAAGTACTTCTATACTAAGTAGTAAAATAACTCCTAGATTCTAATGAGAGAATCTAGTGATGGGTATTAAACCTTAATCCCTTGAGTTCTTTATTCATGTCTGCTAGTATAAGCTGTGCAAAGAAAACCTGCATGTGCATGAGAAAATTGTCAAAAACAATACATAAACGAACTTTAAGTGTTTAGAGATACTTCAACCCATCTAAGAAGCCAAGATCAGGCTATATCTGAACCTATTGAAACCTGGCCACCATATAGATAGAGTATCCAAAAGATATAATGTTAATTACCAGGCCATATCCAGTAGCTTCTGTTCGGAGGCTAGAACCAGACCAAAATATCCTTGGCCCTGTAAAACTTCCCTGCATGAGTAAGAATCCATAACAGATATCTTAGGTTTCTTTT